CTGCTGCTGCAGCTCACCGTGCTGTCAGCAAGAGGTCTAACGAGAAGCTCACGCAAGACACACACTGAAGACTTTTAAAATACCTGACGGCGCTCCATTTCTTAGGCCTGGCTTCTGGACGTGACCGCGTTTAAGCTTTACCCAAACACCAGCTTTAGACACCAAGTGAACACAGAACGATGGAACGCTGATATTTAACATTTCATTCGAACTGATCTCTCTGCAAATCTGTCGAGTGAATATTTTAACTGCTATCTAGCTCTTCTCATGAAAAGAAGCACGTTTTTCCCAAATTTTAAGTCCTCGCCACATAAAAAAGTTTTCAAACCCTGCATCCAGAACAGTTCATGAAACAAACCCTACATGTGTCCCAGTCGAAGCGCTCACATGAAGCTACCAACCGAGGTCCCTAATAGTTTTGGTGTACCCAAATTGCAGCCCGCTCATAAAATGTTCCACACACAAATTGCTCGCTCCATGACTCATTTTATACCATATGGGTGCCAAACACACAGGATGCAACAAAGTTGACATGGAAACGCAATAAACAGACAAACAGACTCTTGCAGACGACGAGAAGTTTTGCGCTTTTTGACGTTTCGTCTGGAGGAGAAGAAGTGTGAGGAGCAAAAAAAACGCTGAATTTCCAAGAAAAACGTTTAAAATATCACAAAGCGTGCAGATTTCTAAGCTGGTTTTGAATTTGCTGCACGTTAAAATTTAAATTCAAGAGTTAAATTCAAACTCACCAGTCAGTGCTTCTCTTCCTCTTTTGATGTCTTGCTTTCTTAATAAAAAAAAAAAACCCTGAATCTCCACTTAAACTTTGCACAAGTCTGGTCCTCCTCGTGTCTCTCAGCCTCTCTGTGCCCCGTCTCTCTATCTCCGTCTGTCTCTATCCAGCTATTCCAGACATGTTTCAGGGCTCGGCCCCAGCCAAATAAGGGAGGAGGAGGGCAGTAAACAAGGAAGACGGGCTGCGCTGTCGCTGGGCCCGCTGCCTTACTGTACGCCACACACACACACACACGCTCAACTCGATCCTCTGTGGCAAGACGCCGCTTTTAGTGGTTCACATGTGCGGCGTTTTCGACTATTATCCAATTAGCTGCTTTGTATTTAAAAAATTTGCCGTTGCGCTTCGGAGCGAAACCTTTAAATCAAAAATGGTCGTATATTATTTCAACGCGTTCACACTCCAGCGTGAGAAACTGCGCCAAGTAGAGTCTTAAGTCATAAGGACGCCTATAGCCGCGCAGACGCCCTGCACAATCGGATTAACGCGACAAATTAATGGTGTTCTCGGTCATTTTTAAGAACATTAAGGAACTCGTTGGCCCCCATTGGTGGCCTTCTGACTGCTTTGACCTCCGGGTCGACAGCTGTCTCCAGACCACAGGGTTATTAGTGGAGCAAAGGCAAGCCGACAAACACAAGGTGCACCACACACACACTTCTGCATACCACGTAAAAAGCTGCGAAAGACCTACACAAACATACGACAACTCATATGCACGCCCAGACCAATGTTTGCGCCTATTAAACTGCTGTAAACCCAAATATGCGCAAAACAGCTCACAAATACCTCAACCTAAGGACGCCTCTCCTCACGTTCCCCCCACCGGCATCGGTATGAAACTCTAAGCTTCCTAATCCCGCCGACCCTTTAAAGACACCCATCTTTCGTTGACTCCTCTCAACTGGATTTCCAAGGTCGGCGGAGTCCGTTAAAAATGGCGTCAGGAAGAGTTAGCCGAGGGCCCCCCCCCAGATGCATTCAGACATCAACGCCCGAGGATGAAACATTCGTTTAATACCCAGACAAATAAACAAGTCTGGATTCTTTAAATGATACCTGGTGAGTGATTCATGTCCGCCGAGCTGTGCTGCGTAAAAATAGGCCGTTCTGTCATGGAGCTTGTCAGTGTCATCCAATTGGCATCGCAATGTACAGTGAGGGAAATGGGTATGTATAGTTCATGGTTTTGGCCAGATACAAAAAGCTATCAGACTACAATGTGAATACTAGATTTATTTTAACTGTAAGAGATGGAATATCTGCATAAAACACAAATAAATAAGAAGAACTTTGGTCTTCCACTAACAAATTTCAGGAGAAAATGATGAATAGGTCGCAGAAAGCTGGGAGCTTCCAAAAGTTGATGATTTTTCTGTTTTTGCAGCGACTATTTGTGATCCATCCATCATCTATACACCGCTTAATCCTCACTAGGGTCACGGGGGGCTGGAGTCTATCCCAGCTGACTCAGGGTGAAGGCAGGGGACACCCTGGACATGTCACCAGTCTATCACAGGGCTACACAACCAAGCACATTCACACCGATTCAGAATCACCAACTAACCTCAACATGTTTTTGGACTGTGTGGGAGGAAGCTGGAGAGAACCCACGCTGCACGTCACAAATCGCAACCCAGAAAGATCCTGGGTGTCCCCACCAGGACGCGAACCGGCGACCTTCTTGCTGCGAGGCAACGGTGCTAACCACCGATCACCTTGCAGCCCACATTCATGATAAATTGCGTAATTCTGGCGATTCATCTTTAAAGACAGCATGGTTGACATTATCCTCATGGCTACTTCATATTGTCGCATCTTCCAAAACAAGCAAAGACCGACTGTATCCTCCGGTCAATCCAAAACCTTGTAAAAACAGACACCGCGCTCCTGCCCCAGCCTTCTCTCAACATCCATATTCTCGCGTCCAAGCGTAACAGCGAAGCCCGCAATTAGAGAAATGAATAAACCGGCCGAGAGGTTTTTTTTCTTTCTGCTGAGTGCTGCCGCCCATTCAATTAGGATCAAACTTGCAATCCTGGCGATTCCCGCTAACCTTCTTGCAACACAGCAATTACTGCAACGGTTCTCTGGGGGGATGTTCATAAAAATGAAATGGGTTTCTGCAAAGCTGTAAAAAAAAAAAAAAAAAAATCCCATATATAAAAGTGGATGCAGCACCACAATGACTGCCAAGTCCTGACTCAAGTGAGGCTGAATACATCCTCCTATTCTTGCAGATTTCTTTGATTAACGGCAGCAATCATGAAGCTCATCATCGCTGAGAGGATCCGGAGGGGGGAGGAGGGGCTGCAGTATATGTTCAAAGCTCTACAATGATAGCAATTTGTTTTCTGGAATTTATCTGGTGATAATGTGTTGTTTCGTCATCCTAATTTCCAAGTACAAGACTTTCATTTACTCATTCGTGTACCGGGTGGAAACTCATTTGCAAAAGGGGGACCAGCTACGTATAGAGGGATAATATGTGATTAATAACCGCAGAATATAAAGTCAGAGCGAGGAGTGGAACGACGCTGCAATGTGGCGCTACGGTCAAATTACCAAAAGCTTGCAAATGAATAAGATGCTGTTGGTGCATGCATATCTATGGGCCTTATGTTTCTAAAATGCACCTTTTAAAACAGCTTTGCATTATTTACATTCATCTGATTTGAAATGCATCTGGTTTTGCAAGTGTTTAGTAAAACACTTCTATATTTTAAAAAAAAAAGCTTGAGATTTACTAAAAGACATTAAACGTCTTTATTCTGGGTTTTACATAGAGGTGCCGAAATTTCAAATTCCTGAACTCCTGGTGCAGAAACAGTAGCTGCGAGCGGATGGAGGCGTGTTTGGACACTTGTGGGAGTCGGGGGCCGGTGGTGTTTCAGGTTACAACCCCCCTGGAGAGGGGGCAGCCAGTAGCAGGGTGACTGACGCCCCCCTATTTCTGCAGCGGCTATTTAAAGGCCTAATTGACAGGCCGGAGGGGTAGGAGGAGGGAGGAGGAGGGGGACGGTGTGGGGCTTAGAGAGGAACAAACAGTAGGTTCTGAGTAGAAAAACACTGAGGTGCAGCAAAACCTGACATCGGAATCATTGCACCAAACAGTACAATGAGATTTGACAAACACGACACACACTCTTTCACGCCACATTCAATAAACAGTAAAGTTTAAAAACACAATAAGAGCTTCAAAATGTTGCACATGATGTCCATAGTTGGTCGGTACAGTGGTCAGACCTCAGGGACTGACAGTCCTCATGATGCAGAAGTGGTGGCAGCAGGAAGTCTTTGGTGTTTAGTTGAGATTAGTTCACTAATGGCTCGAGGAACGAAGCCTTGAGGTGCAGCTTTAACAGCTCTGTAGCGCCTTGCAAATGTAACGTCCTGTTCTGTTGGAAAACTTAAGCCCAATCTAATCCTTAAATAGTAGCATGTCATCAAAATCAGTTTATTTTACATGCCGAATTTAAATATTTGCCAAAAATCATTCGTTAAAAAACAAAAACTTAATATTCTGCACTGGAGCCATGAAGCCATCAGTAACTCAAATGTCACTTGACAAACAATCAGGGAATTTTTAGCTTTTCCCATTTTTGCAGACATAAATAATCAAAGAATTTATGTTGTTTTTTTTCCTCTTCTTGAGATTCACGGCATTGTAACTTGCTGCAGAAAAAAAAAGTTTTGATTTCTTTCTACTTCGGCCATGGTTGTGTTGTTTCTATAGATGTGCATGACTTCACATTGCAGACAAATATGAGCCTGCAGTGAGCAAGAAAAATGCACAGAAACTGTTTGAGTTCAGAGCGTTCAAGGAAAAAAACTGCCTTCACTTGATCGCTGCCTATCAATCTGTGTAGAAAACATGCACTTCTTGCCTTTCAAAAAACTGCCTGTGTAGCTACTGAATCTAAAACTAATAAAAACACATAGAAGCAGTGCCATTGCACCAGGTGACATGCTTAATCATTGGTATTAATTTATTGTTTCTTCAGCATCCTTTCAGCTCCTGCACGTCCGTCAGATTCTCCAAGGCCTCCTTTTCAACCTCCAGTTAAACTAGTGTATTCAACAAGCCGATCCTCTCCTTGTTCCCTCTCAACCACTGAGAATCTTAAAATCAATCTACTGAAGCGGTAACGCCAGACGACACAGCGCAGTCTTTGTAAGCGACTATGAGCGAGCGGAGACGTACCGTGCTCGCCGTCTGCGTTGTCCTCACAGCGGTGGTTGAAGTTGTCGTACGAGTCCCAGCGGATCAGAGGGTCCTGGGTGTTGTAGTCCACAGAAACGCTCGGCCCGTTCTCCAGGTGGCCCAGGCCTGGCAAACGCAAGGCATGATGGGTAATAAGATCCACACACGGAGCATATTAACTCAATTAAAGTGACATTTAAAAAGCCACAAATTGACAGTTATTCCTAAAATCCGATCACGCACATAGAGAAAGAAAAAACTGTTTCGATATCCATCATAGTGGATAATATAATATAAACTGATAAATAACTGAGTTTTAAAGTTGTAAAGACAATTTTCAGGTCGAAAAAAATGGATTACCTTTGATTTTTTCTGGTCCGTATGAGAAAACAAACTCCACCTTGCCGTACTCTGGGAACCTCTCATCTGTACAGACACACAAAGTACAAATATGTCTTTTTTTTGTTGTAGTTGTCAAACCATGCAAGACATTGCACAAAACAATACAAGCTGTTTGAACCTTGTATTTTCACTTTATCAAACTGCTTTTACCTCAAACCTTTACCTCTAAATGCTCATGCACACATATTTTCTTGCAGACAGGTATATATATTTTTAACCTGTTGAAGTTTTTTGCAAAAGCAACCATTTGAATCTACAAAAAAATGTACGCAACAAATGGATATTGAGTGTCAAGGTTAATCTTGATCTGATCTTTTGCATTTTCAGCAACCTTTAGGTTTACTTGAGTGAATGTTGAGCTGCTTCACCACCAGAGGACCCTGTTTGCTGTGAAACTGTGGGGGAACTCTGTTGTGTTGCAGCAGCTCACACACTGTTTTTCCATATTTAAAACTGGAAATCCAAGCTACAGCTGTAAATGGATCAGTTCTTGAGTCCGGTACTAAGTCTTGAGGTTGCAAAATAAGTTAGAAAACCATAGTTTGGGAACATCACTATGATGGGTGGTATATTCCGTATGATTGTACAAGCACAAAAAGCAACAACAAACAAAAAAAAACAACACACAACTCCAGAGACAATCTACCTTTGAAGGTCTCATCCAACTCGTTCTTCCCGAAAACCACGCCGAGGTCGTGGATGGCGCAAGTGTGGAACTGCACCCTGAATACCATGTCTCTGGTCGGGTTTCTGAACCTCTTGTGGTAACACTTCAGCTACGATGAACAAGAAAAGGGAGCGTTCAAGGTAAGAAACGTTTATGTGGTGTATCAATCCGGTAACATCTCCGGATTCTGGAGGAAACCACTTGGATAGTTTCCATATTTATTCTAGCTGCAAGCAACTCAAACCTCAAACATGAGAGTCTTTGTAATGTTTCTCAGACAAACATGGAGGGAATTTGTTGCTTAAAGAAAGAAGTCATAGGGACAAGAGAAGTGACTAGGTGGGAAAGTCTCACCAGGATGTCCCCCTTCAGAAGCAGTCCAGGTTCGATGGTGATACAGATACTGGTGTTGCTGTCTCCTTGCACGTTGCTGCGGGAAGAAGACACAAGAATAATCATTAAAATCCAACTGATGATTCCCGGATTCAAACATAAACCACACTGAACTGGAATAAAAGTTTCCATACTAGATTCCTGACGTGTAGACGGGTTGCATCGCCTGGTAGATCTTCAGGAAAGGACGGCAGCCTGCGAGGTGATTCAAAGAAGAAACATGTTTGAGATTTTTTTTTGAGAAAGGCAGTTATTTCTGTGTGTTTCGACGGAGGCAGAGACTCACCTCCTTTGGATTCAAAGTTGGGTATGCCGTGCATGATGACGTGATGCAGGAACAGAGGCTTGTTGTTGATTTTTATGTGTCCGGACAGAAGGCCGTTGAAGTAGCGCACGTATCTGCAGACAAAGGAAAGAGAGCACTGAGTCCAAAACACTAAAACTGTCGACTATGCACTATACAGCACACTGGCACTAGTGAGACAAAACAGTTTTATAAGTTAGTAAATGAGGAATTAATGTACTTGTGCAAACAAAAACAATGATGCACGACTACCTGTTTTTTGTGTCATCCCTCTATTTTTAACTCAATAAAAATAATAACAGAGCCATATAAGTTCCTCCAAACTAATAAAAAAGAGCCTTAAAAAGCCCTCCTGATGACCTGCAGTGTTGATGTAACGCTTCTCACATCAAACATTTCAAAATTGCTGGAGCATCAGTTTATTTTGCAAATAAAAGGAATAAAAAAAGGTTCTCATCGATGATGTAAAAGCAAAGCCCACAGGGATGATGATAATCAGGCCTTTATCTCCTTGGCAGCACTATTGGTGCAAGAAGACTGTGCCAAGATATCTCGGATGGAAAAATTGATATTTATGGCACGAACACGCTGCAGTTAGATGCAATGTGGGCCTGGTACATTCAAATATAGCCATTAGAATGCTTTTTTAGTTCTGTACAAGCAAGCACTTTTGGGTGACAAACTTTTGTTAATTCATGTCATATTGATAGTTAAATAAACCTTATTTACAGGTTGTTTTAATTATTGTAACAAACAATACAATGATAATAATAATGTTAACTAATTGTTACCAATGCTACAAATCATGTTATTTATAAATTGTATATTTATAGGAGATGATGAGAGATTATAATAATTACATTCTAATGACCAAATGATCTGTAAACCTTTATGAAACCATTTGTACAACATGTAAAAACAGGATGAACCAGATAGTTTGGTAATGGCTAATTATTAGTTAGTTAACCATCTATAAACATGACTGGAATAAAGTTGCACTTAATGCTTAGAATAGTTAATTATTGATCAATATGTTGCCTATAAAGCATCACCAGTTTGGCTCCATTAAATCTCATTTGTGATATACATCTATGTAAAGAGTGATTATTTGTGCCCTTGTGTCTGATCATCACGCTCAAGCACTATTTTAAGAGGCACTCTGCAAACAAAAAAATGAACTTTTGACTTGATGATGGCATTAAAATGAACTTGTATCCCATTCCCATTTACGTGAATGTCATCACCAAATTACCCTGCAACGAGGGGAATTCTTTCTGAGATTCAGGATCCGAAACAACTCTCCCTCCACTTAGCACTTAGTCCAGACCCTCTCGCTAGACTCCACACCGAATCCTCCCTGAGTAACCCTCATTCTGAGCGGTTCACGTTTACGGCCTGTCACAGCTCCGACGGCGCAGCCACAACCAAATTCCTCTCCGGACTATAAAACAGCCGTTACTCACTACGGGGAAATGTCACAGTGAATTGGTGTGTATAGAGACCAGTCGGGGGTCTGTTGAGTTGGTGTGGTCTGGTTGTTAATGATGATAATGATGATGGTACCAAATGTGACCTTGACCACGGGGTCGCCGCGTGCAGACGCCCCCCTCCCTGCTTGGCTGTCAGCGGCCAGATGGTTTCGTCTCCGTGAAATTCAATTAGACGGAGCTGGGACGCCATGTTAGCAGCTGAGAGGAAGGAGGGCTCGTAGCTACGGTCCATGTGGTTATGATACGAGACATAGTCGTTTATCAAGAATCTACATTGGCGGTTTTTGGATTAGGTGGGCGTATAATTGAACCTTTTTGGGCTGTCTGGTCACTTATGAAACCCTTAAAAACTCATCTCTGTAGATCAAAAATTCCACGCTGAGAGGTTTGGTTTCATGAAAATAATTCCTTTGTCTCTTGAAATGGTTTCGATGTAATTTTACACGCCGGCTTTAGCGTAGCCGCTTAACTCTGCTGCAGCTCGAGCACACCAGCTCCCCTATGCTTCCAACACTGTAAAACGACTCTGTGCTTCACAATGGGAAAGTGTAAAGTTGAAGTATTTAGCCATCGGTGTTAACGGCTCCTTAAGGATAGAAGTATCTGGAACTCCCAACTAGTCCGTCAGAACTGATGAAGCCTGTTGGATGAGAGATGAAGCGTCTTCAAAGAACTCAAGCAAGTCCAGTCGCTACGATCAATCTATGAGAATAACCACGACCTGGAGGACTGAGAATCTTCAGACATTTAGCCATATGTGTTGGAACTGGGATCCAAGTTGGAAGAACAATACAGAAAATAAACAGGAGACTAAAGGCGGCAATGCAGAGAAGACTACGGCAGCCATTGAAGTCAACTTGAAACAGCTATCTCTAAAAAGAGAAGCAGGCCTACCACATCAGCTATCAGGTACTTATAATGCAGTCTTGAGGTCTTTCCCTAGAAGGTTTACCCGCCATTAACACCTTGAGTCATCCCTGATTTGGCAGATTCACAACCATGCAAGTCTTGCATTGTTAATGGGCCATTAGTCAAGTGATTTGGAGGTACCAGTGTATATCTAAGACTTTCCCATCTGTCAGAACTGAAGAAGCCTCTTGGATGAGTGGTGAAATGTCTTTGATAGCAAAAACAGTAGTTCCTTTATACCGAGGAAAGCATGACCTGGATAACTGAGAATGAATGCAAACAGAGAGATACAGAAAGCCCGACACAGCAAGCTGTCAGAATGGGTTTCTTAGATTTCATAAGGACGGGACTCGACTGTCTGAATCTGTGTTTTTGAGACTGTCATTGGAGTTTCAGGACAGAAATGCTCAGCCATGGTGTTGACTCCTTATTTTACTCACTGTAAGTCTTCCAGCATATAAAAAAAGCACCATATGGACATGGTAGCAAGGTGAAAAACTGCATTTTCCTCAGCAGGGATCCTCAAATTGTCTTGATTTTGTGTTTATAAGTGATGCTGCAAGGACTCAAAACTAAAAAAGTTTATTCTTAAAAAGTGCTACTTGGTTATTTTGTCCTATAAGATATATTCCTATCCAAATGGTACCAACATCCTCCACCAACATCAACACTCTGGGCCTTTTTTTCCCCTCAGAGATTCGACAAAAGCACATACAACAGGGTCTCCGTATATTTTGTTCCTTAAACATAATCTGCATACTTCCAGTTAAATCTGGCCCGGTGTCAATAAATAAAGGCAGCCAATCCTATCAGCAAGTGTGCATTGTGTTTCCTGCAGCATTTCACAACAAACAGAATCATTTAATTACGCTAAAAGGCTCCACACAACAGCTTTATTCCAACCTTTTTACAAGCTGTCATGGCACCAGCGGCCCGAGCTCATCGCCTGCTCTTGATGTTAATGTCGCACATTCCAGACCGCGATACCGGCAGACTCCAGAGGCAGAGATAATTATATTCGAAGCAGGAAATAGCAGCGGGGCAGAGGGCAAGCCTATAGACCTGTTAAAGAATGGCTGGCTGCCTAATTCGGCGGCCGAAATGAAGTGGTGTTAAGTCCCCCCGGTGTTTCCCGTGTTGCTTCGCTTATTCCCGGTAACCTCATCATTTCCAAGAAGCTCGGATCGAGACTCCTCAGGTGAGGAAAGGAGGCAGTCAGGGGTCAGGCCTTTCAGCAGTTCACCGTCTAATAATGTAGAGGGAGCTAATAATATAGTAGGAGCAGATTTACGACTTGAAGGACCGAGGTGACAGTCTCCCGAGAGTGAGCTGCTTTCAAAATAATAAATTGCTTAAATACCTTTAAACCGCTCTTGATTGGTTTGACCCGGTCTGGCTTGGAATTTACTCCGCTGTTGTCTCTGCTCATGAAAGGGCGTTATTTCACTCACACTCACTGCTAGAAGTGGAAAGGGAAAAAACTGCAAGGAAAATATGCTGTGATGTGCTCAAAAAGGCAGGAACCAACTACCGGCAAGCCCTGCAGCCTCCCGAGAGACGCCAGTGGAATCCTTCAGACGGACAAGATAGATTGCTTCTCTCTGTGCTGTGACATTTACTCACAATTATCCCAATTAAAACTGAATTGGAGATAAACACAAGCAAAAGGGAAAGAATTTCCTCTGTCGGGTACAAAGACAAAAAAAAAAAAAGAGGAAGCGACAGATGTATTTGTGTCTGTGTCTGCAAAACCTAAGACTCTTATTGCAATGTTGTGTGCTCGTGTGAATGTAATGAAAAATGCGTCTGTGTTTCGTTGTATTCGGGGAAATCAAGACAAACTCTGAAGACAAGTCAGTGAGAGAGTCCTCATTTTAAGTCTTGTATCTTGACTGAGAACTCGAAGCACTTAAACATACAATTTTACTGAAAATGGGACCATTATTTACAAAATGAACACCATGACAAATCAAAGAAGTCTTAAAACTGGTGATTGAGACCATAAATTCATGAGAAAAATGTTTACTGTGGCAACAAATCAAGCGAGAAGTTGGGCCATTTTCTCAGAGATGTACGTACAATCGGGCTTTTTTGCTAACTAGAGGAGTCGCCCCCTGCTGGCCGTCAGAAAGAATGCAGTTTTAAGTCATTTTCAGATTCATTTTTCAGAACTAGAGGCCATTTTTTATGTGCAGTCTATGACAAAGGCGTGCATGCAGTCATGAAGCACACACTTAAAACTTGATTATATTGTTTTAAAATAAGTCTAATTACTGAAAACACAACGACAGCATGTAACCAAACATTAAAGCGAGAGCTGATGCAATCCCCTTGGAATAAATTTCATATGATTTCACATCTTAAATCAAAGATGCACCGTTGAAAGAAGTATTTCAAGACGTAAATCTTCCACTTTATCCTAGAGAATCATAGCAGGAGCAATTCAGGAGGGCTGAATGAATCTGTCCTACTTCGTCCACTTCTCTATTGTTCACTATCTTTGGAGCAGCGATTGATCCAGTTAAGTTCAGAAACAGCAAATAAAGTGCGATGGCGCTTAACCAGAGGCAATGACAGACTTAACAGTGATATAGTCCCAACTGGATAGCTCTAAGTAGCTCACACCTGGCATTTGAATGCATCTTGATATGAGTGACCACTTGCGAATAAATCCCACTTCGCTGCTCTGTATGAAAATACATCATTTTGTTTTCTGCAAAACCCAAATGCTGTTGCTGACTTACCTTTTCTGTGACGGCTGACCCACCGGAAGCGCCTTGTCCTCGTAAAAGCGCCTCATGGCGAACCTGTCCAACGCTTGGTCAGCGCTGCGTGACACGAAACGACACGTTATTTGTCTTGCCAGAGTGCATTTTTTAAAGATTACAACCTACCAACAACAAGTCTCCTTATTTTGAAAAAACCTGCCGATTTTTCCCCCCAACATTCTAGACTGAGAAACATCCCCTGGCCTTCATCATTTCTGAAGCAACCTGAAGTTCTCCTGGCTCCTTCTCACCTATTAACATCTGGTTGCGTTAAAGAATTACGACATTTTTAGACTTCTTCTTCTTCTCACAGGGCAACGAAAACAAGCTGGTCGGGACGGAGTGTTTAGCTAAAATAATCACATCAGCGTTTAATTTCCAAGGCTGCTCGAGTTCCGGACTTTGATGCATTATTGTTCCTGTCCTTATAAAACCCTGCGAGGAGGAGATTTGGATTTGGAAATCACACTTTTTCCTTTCGATCAAACTCCACACATACATTGCTGGATCTGAAATGATGACGATACCTTGCGGATATGTTGCTGTAGTGCATGTACGCAGCCACCACCACCCCCGTTCGACCGCGGTTCCCCTGTCACAGAAACAGAGACAAGATATGTAATCGAACTGTTTATTTGAAACAGGAATCATTTCAACAATCGTCGTATGACTCATGAAGAGGTCAAACAAATCCCCTTTAACTGTGATGGACCGGTTAACAAGCTGGATGACTTAGAGCTGGAACTATAAATAACATGTTTGATCGCTGAAAAGTGACCGGTTAGAATTTGAAAATCTTCCTCAGAGTAAAGTAAGGAGGAAAAATCTGTGCCTTTTTTCCAGCTTCATCTGAACAGCATGTGCAAACACTCCAAAGCGATGCATGTTTAAACAAGAGAGGATGGATTGTGTAACCGTGAGAGCTGAATAACCAGAAATTATATTGATTTTGTCGAGTTTGCAGCCAAATAGCGAAGGATGTAAAGATGAATCCACATTTTCACATTTACTCCCATTTGGCTGCTATCTGGTAAAAACTAGAGTTTCTATTTGCAAGTTACACCTCTGATAGAGATCAATGGTCTGGGGTAAGACATGTAGGGAACACACAACCCCTATCGGACCCCGGCCTACCTTGTTGTGTAGCACCACCACGTTGCGCGGGTCTCCGTTGAGCCACGTGTCGATGGCCTTGCACATGCTGCAGATCTTGTCCAGCGCCGGTGCGTGGTGGTCTGGCCAGCCGAACTCAAGAACCTGATGACGAAAGGAGATTTAGTTCTTCAGATTTCATTCCTGTCAAATACGCCCTAAACTGCTGAGGTGTCGCTACCTTGTGGTTTAACTTCGACAAGTCATTCCTCCGCTCGCTCAGGTTGAGCATCTGGAATCAGAAGGAGAGCAAACATCAACGGTTGGCGGTCCATTTGAGAATGAACGATTGTAGATCATCTCAGAGTCATTTCTCACCAGATAGTTTTCGCCGTGTTTCGACCGCAGCATCGTCGCCACCTCCTTGAGGTTGGCGTTGTAGCTGGGATCCTCGGCGGCGGCGGGGAAGGAGACAGAGATGATCCTCTCCGTGATGTAGACCAAGTCCACCTCATAGCTCTCCTCCATGGCCTGAACCACGCTCTGACTCCTGCACGGGCAAAGTGAGCAGAAGGGGGTTCGGTTAACGTTTTTTTTTTCCCAGCAACATGACGGCATCCACGGAGAGATGGAAGCCCTGATTTGTGGTGTGCTTACTGGAACAAAGTGTAAAAATGAAAGAGAAAGCAAAAGAGGCAAGTGGCACAGTGTTTACTTCACACTTCTAAGAGATATATTTCCTTAGGTATCACCTACAGCGTTCCAGCCAAGTAGAGGGGTTTTCTGTTCTAGCATCTCAAATCAAAGCAGTTGATTTCTCTCAAGTTTAAGGCTGTCACATTATTAGATTTTTAGTTCCCTGCCAAAAAGGATTCACAATAACAATGTGACTGCAATATATCTATCAGTTAAGTTCCTTTTTAAGTTTGTTTACTGTGTGTTTTGTACTTTTTGGCAAATAAATTCCACTTTAAATGCACCAATACTGTAGCGCTGCATGTATAAGTGTGTCAAATATATTAACATGATATCAATATGTCAGGTTAAAGTCATTATGGGTAGATTCCAACACTCCTTGTCCTGCATGGTTCTCTGTAGCTCTCATGTATAAAAAAAACAATGTTCAAATGTTTCCTGAAGTGGTGTCAGAAGTTCACATTTGGTGCAAAGAACATTTTAGCAGCACACAACCGGTGCTAAGTACGCGCTGCCCTTTTAACCTTCCACACATAATTCCAACCATTAACACAAGACTCATAATCGTCAGCTTTGTTCACTCCAAACTGCATTCCAATTTTCCGTGATTATCATCTCGACGAGGACCCGTTTTGAAAACTTTGTGCAGCTGCTGCTGCTTGCGAGAGCATTTCTAGAACTCTGCCGACTTTTTCTCGGGGACTAAGTTCATTGCAAACACCCACTTGATCAAATGTAAACTCCTGCAGCTCACTCTTATATGTCTTGGAAAGGAAAAGATTTACAATCCTTCCTCGGCTGTTGACATGACCTCTGCTGATATTATGCAACCCGTTTCTCTGGCCAAACAGGTTTTTTTTTTTTTCCCTTTTGCGCTGGTGGGCATAAAGTAAAGTCCTGCATGAGAAACAGCTACGCTTGAAGAAAAACAGACGAACAGAGAGATCATTTACATTCCTTGAAAAATGCTTTTTTAAAAATGTTGATCATAAAACAAAAATGAAACAATCATTTAGCCATCGTAGGAGTTTTTTGGCCATCTGAAGAAAACCTGATACGCTGCAGGAAAAACAACTAATCAGCCATTATTGCTTTCTCATTATGTGTGCATCTGCATACAACAGGACTGTCTTACCGCGACTGCTTTCGCCTTATCTCCACGCTCTTGCAGGATCTTGTGGATCCCTGGTGAACACACAAACAAACAGGCAAAGGGACAAAAAAGATTCATAAGCAAACTCCATCTGTTTATCATGATGGTGTTGTTGAATTAGAATCTGACACAACCTATTAGGGAGAGAGTCGGATCACAGGAGCTAAACTTGAAGTTATTTTGGAAAAAGAGAAGGATAAGATGGAGAGAGGTGAACAGTAAGAGGGGGGAGGAGGAGACCAGAAGGAAATGAATGAAGGTGTTGTAATGACTTTAAAATAGAGAGAAGAAGAAAGAGAAAAAAAACAAGCAGAGTAAAGAAGTTTAGGGAGATCAAAAGGTTAAAGGAGAAGCAAGGAAAGAAGACAAAAACAGGACCATCCAGACTTCAGATCTGATCAGGATTCCAACACCGACTTTAATATTCTGTCCCGCATCTTCTTATTTAAAGATTGAAGTTGTGTCGCAAGACGTGACTAAACGCGCCGCGCTGTCGAGGAATCGCTGCATAATAGATGCCAGAGTTGGCTCTTTCCTCTCGCTGCTCGCCGGCCTGGGGGACGACGTGTCTGTACGAGCCAGCTGTCGTCGAAAAGATGAAGCCGTCCAACGAGACAAAAACGACAGCTGAGTTTATTTCCGCAGACATATTTTTCTGCGACGTTCTTCGGCCGCTACGACGTCACGGAGGCAGCTTAACAGGTGTTTGTGGCAAAAAAGCGAGCAAGATAAAAGTAATTATCCTCAAAATCTCTGCTTAATTTTGCCTCCTCTATGTTCGGCATGAACCAATTTAGTGTTGAAATAGCTTTAAAGGGCCAGTTCAACCCATTTAATGCCATTTTCCGCTTCCCAAAGAGTGACTGTAGCACCGATTTGGTGCTGAAATGCATCAAAATGACTCGATTTCATTTATTATTTTCATCGAGGAATCTGTTGATTTTAATTCATTCGTCATCTGGTTGGCATCCCTGTATGTCTTGTTCTCTCCACAACCCAACAAGGTTCAGTTTGTCATAAAAAAAAATTAAAGAAACTACAGATTGTTCAAATTTAAAAAGCTGGAATGACTCAAACCAATTAATCAACGATCAAAAAGTTGGTGACGGGATAATCCTCAACGTCAGGCCCGATTAGAACTGCAAATATTTCTTTGGTCAAAACGACTCAGTTCCAAGAAGACAAACCTCGGCTGTGATGTGTATTTGCACATTACGACCGTTTGATCGGCACACAAGCAGCTGCGGGCGCATGTAAGCCGAGTGGTGATCTGGCAGAGGATCGGGTTTTTTTTTCGGGGGGCGCAACACCGGTCAAGCGGTGAAACAGCGATGTTGGCAAGAAGGCTCTCTAATCACGGCGCAAGGTTAAACACACAGCCCGCGGCTCTCCATATTGCTGCCGAGCGGCTTCCGAAGCTAAATCCCACCTCCCCCCTCCTTATGAGCCAAAATGGGAAGCATAATTCTCAATGATCTGACAGGAACCAGATGCTAGGCGGACGACGCACGACGGTGTTTGCAATATGAAACAGCCTGTTCTCGTGAGGCTTCGAGGGGGTGTTACGCCGGAGCGTTTCACATCGCAATCTGTTGGCTTGTTGCAACACGGGGGGCATAAATGAAAGTCAATCAGCGCGTAACGTGGTGTCTGCATGCACCTTGTTTTTTAACATCATAATACCGGCTTTATCTTCTGGATTCTCTGCATCATAGACCTGCACTGTTTTGAACAGTGGGTCACAGTGTTATACTGGGTTGCACTTCTTCTCACCACATCTGTAAATAGTCAGACAATTGCACCATTTGTGGAGAAAAAAACAGCTATTTTGGGATGAATTTAGGCAATAGCACTGTGCCGTATACCTGAAGAACCGTGGTGTATACCTGCCTACATCGTCGGTAGGGATACTGACGATGTAGGTTGTATGCTGGTATAAAATACTGAACAAGAGTTGGTTTTAATAGTTTGATAGAATCGAGAACAATCCAAAATTACAGATGTGGGAGTGGCCTACCTTGCCGAACAGGAACCCAGTGCTCCACCTCCAGGACGAGCGCAGGTGGGCCAAATGCTTTTGAATGGAGCTACCCAACGGCATGGCTAAATCTGGGAATCAACTCTCTATTTAAAAAAGATAATACTCCAAATTTAAAGGGTCGGGATCCAAACTTATCCTTTCAATCATCCAGGTGATCAAATCTTGAAGAGCTCCGGTTTCCTCCTCATGACGCTACAGTCCTCGTGCCAAACTTGATCGGCGGTGATGTAATCTATCACCGTGCATCTTCCCTTTTCCCTTTCTCAACTGTTTTATCCCCACTTTCTTCTGCTTTCTCTCGCGCTCTCCCTCCCGCCCAGTTTGTGTTCTCTGGAACTACTCCTCCCTCGGTCTCATTATCTCTCATTATTTCTGACTCTCCCATCCTGCTTCTCTTGTCTCCCTTTTTTTTTTCTCCCCTCGAATGCTTGTGTACTCTACGGTTCCTGTATGAATGCACAGTCTGCTTTGTCATCACCTTGAACATCTTGTGAAGCGACCGGCTGCAATAGGCGATAAAAACGATACGTAAGAAGAAAAAGAACCTCTTCTCCTGTCAGTGTTATTTTTGATTTACAGTGTCTGGAGCGCACTCGCATGTATCCGCTCTGAATCTATTCTTTCCTGAGCCAAAAGCTGATTAAAAAATCCCCATAGTGCACTTGGATGACCCTCAATAGGCCCCACACTGACTCAATTATGGTCACGATGGGGCATTTTGACTCAAAACCACCATGGATCCTTTATGGACTAACCAAATAAACATTCCATCTGCACTTCTGTCCACACACCACACACACGAGTATGGAAAACCCCCATATGTCGACGATTCCTGGATCTAAGTACGAAGGCAGAAAGCAGACGATGCCAGGATAATTCAATAAGAAAATGAATGATTTCCTTTGAAAGCGAGCCAGGATGTATGGATTCTAACCGGCGCGTACAAGAGCGCTCCGCGAAACATGTAATAAACGCAACCCGATACGACGGGATTAACACAAGGAATGCTGTGATAAGAGGCGGCGACCACAACAGAGATTTTTTTGGTTAAACAAAAAGACACGAATGATAGATCAGGATCGCGGCTAATTTCTATGTGAAATGTCTGGTTCAAGGGGGCTACGGTATTTATCCCCTGACGCCAATATGTCATTTTCAAATTGTTTGTGACAACTTTCTATAATTACCGTAAAAAAAAACGAAAGACGCGAGTCAAGAGAAGTAGTAGCCGGTGGTATTTTTAGTGCTGCTGTTTCTGGTAAGTATGCCCACGGTTCCCAAAAACTCAACTTACTGTTTCAAAAATGGACGCCGGTACTTATATCAAGCCTAAATCTATTGTTTGTGCTTTTTACTACAGAGATTAAACTTAGTTTTCAGCGCAGAGGGAAGGAAAAAAGCACAATTAAAAATAATTTAATGTATGAAAGTAATATCCAGTGACAAGAAGCTTTTTTCTTGCATCACACGATTAATCCCCATCACCTGATTTGGAAAAATGCTCGTTTTTATCGATTCTTATCACTGATGAGCAGAAAGTAACATCGATAATGTTGGCGGTCGTGAAAATTGAAGTCTTGTATGCGGTCAGTATAGCATCAAGATGTATTTTTAACCCTTTATCAGGCAAATAACCATATATGTAATGTATGTTTAAAAAAGGCAGGGGGTAGAATCATGTGACTTCATTCAGCCAATCAACGAAGGCCAGGCTACATCGCTACACAGTCGCTATGGCCTCTGACCAATCACGAGTGAGCAGGAAGTGATATTTTGACACAAGTGTCAGAAGTTCTGCAAGTCTGATTGGTGATTTTAAATAAATATTCCTTCATTTTTATATGTGATTTTTATTTAAAAAAATAATTTATCCACATTTTTAATTATTTGTTTTTACTCTAGGTGGATGAGGAATCATATATGGTGACTGCTTTGACTTTGATTGAAGTCAAAAACGACAAAAACGTCCTCACACATCCACCAAAAACACTCCAGGGTTGATTTTTTAAAATTTCCAAGTATTTCAATGAGAGTTAACCCAAATCAGGATTCTTTTCTAAACCTTACCAAGAACTTTTGGTGCGAGAATCGAACCAAACATCGACTGAAACCGCAAAAAAAAACAAAGTGAGACTCAAATGAAAAAAATTGTAATGGTCTGAGACACAAGTTTCAAGATCCCCATCCGACGTCTGATTCTCGACTTTTGTTCCTCTTTGCAAACTTTCTCTCCTCCACCGTTAAACGAGGCGATAATGGAAAACCAATAAACGGAGTCCTCCTGTAAGGTGAAGGAGGTCGTGTATGGGAATGTGCCGCGATAATGTCTAAAACAGGTGTCCTCGTACGCTCGAAAGGTTGGCAGCCTGTTTGACAAACTGTAGTTATTTGTAGTTGTAGTTAGTTATTCACAACTCCTGGAACGAATACAAAAGCCAGTTTCACAACATACAGCGATGAGAACATGCATGAAACTCCGGTGAAATCCACTTCTTCTGTGTTTACTCTCACGCTCAGCATATTCCAAACATGTGCATCCCTGCCAAAATATGCAGTTAAATACACGGGACTGAACGCTTGCAGAGTCAGCTGTTTACCTCCGCTGCATACAGATATGTTTGCTTATGCTGGTTGCTAACAACAAGTGAAGCATGCAAGTGACAAACTGACACCATGGATGGAGGAGAGCAGGGAAGTTCTGGTGCAACTTCTTTTTTTGCACCGTTTGGGATATTCCTTTTAAAGCGTTATACATAACGTTGCATAAGATCGAAGGCATCCCTCGGTCTCGACTCGCATTTTCTTCGTCAACCTTTTTTCCTTGTGTGAATGCACAGCATGCGAATTAATCTCCATACAAGCTGCCGTCCACAAACCGATCTGTGTTTATAATCCGACTCTGAGTCACCGCCTCGCTCCTGCTGCCGATCTAAACATTTGGGGCATCTGACGCAAACACTGACTCACTTCTGTGACTCACCGAAAAAAAAGAAAAAAGAAGAAGAGCTTAAACAGGGACATCCGTGCTGCTTTTATCTTTTGAATAAATGTTGCTCCCGGTTTGATGAGAAGGCAAATAAAGACAGCGGAGTCCCTTTCAGTCTGAACAATCTAAACAACAAATGCTGCCTTTGTTGTGCCTGCTGGTTAAATAAACTTTTTTACATTAGTAGTGCTTCTTTCCCTTCTTTTTTTTTTTGGTGGAATCTTTTTGGAAACCCCTCCGCCCCTTTACGGTTTAGCAATGTCAAGCAAAACATGCGTCTGGGGCCAGGCCTTGGCATCGATTCCTGGCAGAAGACGAGCTGCGGGCTGGCAGCTGCACAGGTTTTCTCGTTTTTGTAAGGTATGTACTAAGTATTTCTGTACACTGGCACCGAGCAGAGAGGATCTTCTACCTCAGGGTAATGTATGGAGACGAATTAGGATAACTAGATCGATGTTTTCGTTGTTTTATTATTAATTTAAGCAGTTATAAATCCACTTAAAACACTATTAATTAAACTCATCGGTGTCTGACGTTTGACATTTCGACTTCTGCACCTCATCTGCTGCAAAAAACACTAACAATCTACTTTAAATAACTTCCTGATATTCATTTGGACATGCGCTCCAACCCAATCGATTCAGTTGTTATGTGCCGCATAATGCCGCCACCTTCTGCAGTTTGAAATCAGCAGGCGGACGTGATTTTTCGCAACTTTAACTATGAATAAAACGACTTATTAAGTGCAGCTATTCTATATCAAAAGCAGGTAATTGTACAACAGGATAGGTGGCGAAGTTGGGCCGCAGTTTGAATTAGGGGTGGGACTTTAACGCGTTAATTACGATTAGTTAATTACAACAAAAATAAATAAATCAACGCATTTAATCGCAGTTTGCATCCAAACACGGAACGTTCGTCAGTGCCCGATTTCATGGTCCACCAATCAGTGATGCACAAGACGCCTCAGCGCTACAACAACAAACATGGAGGAATCCAATGAGAGTGCATCACTTGGACTGATGGAGGGTAAGCTTCATTTTAACAAACTGCCTGATGGAAGCCTTGACATGAGCACGGTTTTGTGCAACTTTTGCAAAAACAAATTTGCATCCTACCGAAGCACATGGAGCTGACGGTAACACCTGAATGCAACGAAACCACCGGAGCTGTTAGCAGTCCTGGTCCGAGTACGAGCAAGCGTTGTCGGCAATGTTGTCATGCGATTAATTGAGATTAATTAATTACGAAGCCTCTAACTAACTACATTTTTTTAATCAAGTCCCACCCCTAGTTTTAATAAACACTGTTGCCCATAAAGTTGGAATAACTTTCTTTTCTAACCTCTTGTCATGAAATTATTGTGATGTTTTGATTCATTCTTGATAAATAAACTTCTCAAAACTTTATTGACATCACAACATACATACAATACATACAATTGGGGGTATTGAACAAGAGGATTAAGGGTTTGATTTGACAGGAAACGCATATTTGAGGGGTTTTAATGCATCAGAATGTCCAATATTAATAATTCAGATGTCACTAATATTGAATCTGGCCACCCCTGACACGGATCAGTGCGTTAAGACGTGGTGGCATACTGTCCACAAGCTTGTTGATGGTGTCAGAGGGTAACTGGGACTCAGGCTCAAACAGAAATAAAAAGAGGAATGTGTCCGAAAACAAAAATTATTCCAGCTCACCGTGTCCCTGCCAGAGCTTCTCTTCCTTAAAGCACAGTCAGGTTTGTATTCTAATGTTTTCCGTGGCTCACCATTTGTGTGTCTAGAGACGGTCCTGTCACAGCCTCCTCCAAACAAAAGTGAACAAACACCACTTCTTGCCGGGTTTTTCTTTCGCTCGGCAAACACCGCGAAGCGCAGCAGCTTGCCAACAGGAGGAGCAAACGCCTCGATAACCAGATGTGACTCGAGATAGAAGGCGACAGATGCACGATATCGCACCCATATGCGACTGCTGAACGCCTCATTCCAACACAGTTCATCTCCAGCTTGCACTATTTTTATTTTTTTTTGCAGAACCTGGCAGCAACGCACCAAATCAGCCGCAAGAGTGTTGGCGAGCCCGGCTAGGTGGGATCGCAGAGGTGCTACATCGGTTAAGTTCAAATGGAAACTGAGTCCACACAGATGGAAATGCATCATCTTTGTATGCATCAAGGTTTAAAATAGCCAAAAGTGCACACATGAGCATCTGGGTTTGTTATTCCAGCACCTTTGTTGCAATAACAGTGAATGAACAGCAGTTTAAAGCATGTCTTTTCTTACAGAAGAGGTGTTACTTACCGGTGTATCTACATGCTTTAATGGCAGCTGAGGAGTAGGAGGCTGGAGAGAGAAGCGAGACAGAGTCAGTGGGTTAGTCATTGTTTCTTTCACAGCGAGGAGGAAGAAACAACACGGTGAGGAAAAAAAATAAGAGGATGAGAAAGAGAGATGGCGGAGAGGCTGCTTCTGTCTTTGGATCTTGATGAAATCGCTGCTCCCTAAACCTTCTAAATGTTAAAGTGTGAAATGCACATTCTTGATTTTGGAAAAAAAAAAAAGCAGGATGAGAAATGAAACACGCTTTCCTGAAGATGTTTTGGAGCTCGGCTGCAAATTTAACTGATACCTGGAAAGTCTTTTTTTCCTCATATTGATCAACTGGGAAGTTGTTTCACCAATTTCAGAAGCTCTAAAAAGAAAATGTAACCGCTGGAGGCCTAATTAGAAACTGGGAAAACTCCCCTTTTTTCTTTCCGCAAGTGCCTTCTGATTAATTTATCACAACTTGATGCGACTTAATCTTAATTTCAAAGCATGTAAGATGAGATCTGTGCATGTATGTTGCCTAAAGAGGCAGGGATGGAGAATGAAAGAAGTACACAACAGAGGCAGGGACACGCAGAGCTTGACAATGATCCATGTGTTAAGGGAAAAATCTCTTAACTGAGTCAAGCGCGGCATCTTAGGCTGCCGTGAGCTCTGTAAACAGATCCGGGGGACTGTTTAACAAGCTGCGAGGGGTGATTTAAAAGGCCCAGAGCCTAAAGTAAATACGTGAAAAGTAGTTACTGTAGCTGGGAATGTTCCTAATTTGGACATATCATCGGTGGCGAATCTCAAGAATGTGAAACGCTTTGTAGGACGCCGACTGGAAATCAGGAAGGGATCAAACTGTTATTTCTGCCCGTTTTCTTATCCTGACGTTTGCTGAGCTTGCGTTTCTTCACAGCGATGAATAAAAAAACTCCAATTTTAAGCTCATTAAAATGAAAATGACTCATGAATCACACTAGCAGCCCCTAGAGGAGAGGAGAATAATCACTTTGGCTGCGGCTCAGTTTTTTTAAATAGCCTCCTCAAAGTCCAAAACACAGATTTAAACCCTTTCAACCCCCCCAAAAAAACCCACCAGTGGGTTTGGAAAGGCATGTCGTCTTAAAATTAAAATTCCACTCATCAGAAGAAAATACTGTGGAAACAGAAAGAATTGTGAGATTTTCAACTTTCTGGTGAAGCTTAACCCTGAAACGCCAAATCCATCAGATTTGATTTGATATTTTATTGCCTGAAAAACCTGATGCAGACAATCAGGCACACATATTCCACCACAGATCGCAATTCATGCACCGAGAAAGCAAAATGTTGCCAAAATTGGCACAAATTAAACATCATATTTGAAAATTACTTATTATTATGATTTTAAAATTTGTCAAAATGTTCATTAAACACTCCATTTTCAAACAAAATTAGAATTTTCTGGCAATGATTTCATGCTTCAGGCTTTACAGGGTTAAACAGGGACCATATGTGCTGTGCAGGTCTGCTGAAAAATCAAATTGAAACTTATATTTTGTCTAAATTGTCATTTGAAAATTTGCCCAAAATAAATAGTTTGCATTAAATTAACCTCTTAAGCCCTGGTGTCTGTAGTTAATTTTTTTAATTAAAAAAAATACATAATAATAAAAAAAAATCATTATTACTATTATCATTTTATTATTATATTTTTTTTTTACATTTGTTTTTTATTTATTTATTATTTCAACATTTCAACATTTTTAACATATTTTTTTATTATATTTTTTTATTTTCATTACTTTTTTTTATTTAAAAAAAATAAAAAATGCACATCAAAGACGAGCTCGGGCCTTTAGAGTTTAAACAGATTCTGTAAAAAATAAATAAAAAAAACTGCCTTTACACGGTGCAGATGGGAAACTATAGACTATAAACTATAGAAACAAATTTAAAATATTTCTTTATGTGGAGACACTTTTTTCACCTCAGTTTTTGCAACAACTGTGGGGAAAAATGTGCATGTTTTGTAAAATAAATGCACATAATCTGTATCTCTGTACTTCTTGCCATCGTTGTCCATAGATGTACAACAACTTTATACTGCAGTGAAAAATGATCCCACAGTGTGTAAAAACGTAATACGAGTTGGGTGTGTGTAATTCTGGAGAAAGACGCTGATATTTTCTTAGTCATCTTATTTAAATAGTTTACATCTGGCAGGTTTTTGGTCCTTTTCAATCTTGTTTTTCGCACAAAAATTAAATATTCTAGATTGGAAGGACATTCTCCAACTTTTAGCAGTTTCAAATCCAGCCGTGAACCTTTAACCGGTGGAGTTCCCAGTCGGCGGCGTTGTTGCATTTCTAAATATACCCAACCACATTGCAACACACACACACACACAGACGATATGTGCATGCTGAGATCTGACAGTACGGAAAACAAAAACGGTGCAGTGAGACACGTCTTATGGTGTTTGTTTCTGTCGTTTGTTGTCAGATTGAGAAGGCTGATGTTTTCTCATCCGGTTTCAAATTAAAAGTTCTAATTCTGACCGAGTGATTTGCTCAAATCAAAGCTACCCAAAAAGCTTAAAAAGGACCTCCAAGTACAAAACATAATCAGCGCTGCCACTGCTGCGTCACCGTTTGTCACCTTCCACGGCTGAAAACAGGACGTGGTTTGTGGTTGTTTGGGTTGTCCAGGACGGGCACAGGAAGGAAGCTCTTTTGGTTATAGCCTCCGACCTTTGCCCTCCGGCGGCAACCACACGGAGCGCTCCGCGTGTGGTTCGGCCACAATTCCCGGAAACGACTATTACGATAGGGGGATTTAAAAACTTCAAAAGGTTTGATTTGTACAAAGTGACAGACGTGCAGTGGGATACTCACCAGCTCATAGTTCGTAGGAGCAGTAGTCGTCGCTGTTTGACATGATGTGGTGACCTGGAAGCAGAGAGACAGAAATCATGAGGAAGAAATTTGATGAAGAGCTTCGATATTTCACTTTAATCACTTTATGCTTGATGTCGCACCTCAAAACAAACCACTTGTAGTAACCAGACACTGTAAAAGACCCTAAAAGTTCTGTTCTCCTCTGTGCAGTTTGTTGGTTTTCTCTGTTTCCAGTCATAGTTCTGGTGTTTCCATAGGACTTTATCGCAATTAATTATGATTACTGTTTGTTGTATGGTAATGTTTGCATCCCCTGAGGCACATTTCCAGATAAATAAATGCTTCAAAGTGCTCAAAATGTAGTTTCAAGCTGGAAAACATAATAGAATTTCATGCAAAAACCTGATATTGCCATGCATAGATGTGTACATCGTGACAGTATGGACATATATTCTCCTCTCAACTCGTTTTAGGGCAAAAGAATAAAAGAGAGAAGATAGAGGAGTTCCTGCAAAAAAAAAAAAAAGTCCAGCAATGAAAATGAGTTTGGCCCACAGCTGCCAGTTTTTTTTGTTTTTTTTTTTAATTATTCTTTTCAACCACAATTCCAAAGCAACGTCTCATTTCACTAAATTAGAATTTTACAAATTTTTATTTATTATTATTTTTTTCAGTTTCTACTTATTTGATTGACTATTGTGAGTTTTGCCTTTTCTTTAATGGAAGGGGATGAATGCATTTGAGGACGACTGTACGGCCACATGAAAAGAATTCACACAACTCATATTTCACTGCATTTTCTGTTTCCTTTTGACTTAAAAACACTGTAAGACTGTAGCAACAGGAAGGGTGACACATCTGAGCTCTTGTTTTTCTTAGTATTCCCCCAAATCGTCCTTAACAGCACAGAAATAACCACTACCCCCCTCCAAAACATGCCCTTCTGACTTTTTTCCATGTGTGGAAAACATCCAATCCAAGCAAAACCCCATTTGGCATCGACTTTACACTGAGCGAGAACGCTTCCTGTCAAAACAACTCAACATCGCATTTCTGTCAACACGCATGTGGGTGGAAGCGTTTTACTGTGACTATCTCACATGATGCTTTTGCTGATCAGTGAGAGAATCCATGCAGGTTCCTGATTAGCAACTCGTGTTCAGGATCAACGAAACATCGTACGAGAACTCCAGTTTACTCTCTGCTGGTGTCCTGACTCGCTCTGTGACGCTAAACACATGTCCGAACAAAAAGCAAACACCGGATCAGACATATTTTTTGCCATTTAAGATTCTAGATACCGCTGTCCGTCACTATCCACGGAACTAAGATAGTGGTACTGATGACAACGTGGACTGACGACAACAAAAAGAGAAAAATATTGGGAATTTAAATGTTTTAAAATGCCACATGTGAGCACAGGGGACATGAAAGCATATTAAAAATTGGTCTTAATTCATATTGTTGCATTAAACTTCCTATTTAACCCCAGGCCATTTGGTTTAGGTGACATTTATTGTTTTTTATTTTATTTTTGAAGATTTCTTTTAATATAAAAAGAGGGCAATTTGTTAAAAAATATGGAACCAAAAATACTTCTCAGAAAATTCATTTAAGATAGTTTAAAAGTCTATAATGAAGATCAACAAATATTTTGCACATATTCTTTCTAAGCATCCAATGGACCCCGAAACACCTTCTACGTATGACAACATGAAAGTCCTGAATAGGGTTAAAGTAACCTGCTGGGTTTTCAGTTCCTAAAGATGCTGGCAGTGCATGAAAACTCTCGCGTTCACTCTTGCAGCTAACATGAATCTTCACCTCAGGTTTATAACAACCATAAAAACACAATAAAAATGTATATTCACTACATGGGACACAAGTTGTCATCCATCATAAACTGGAAAAACACAACTATATATCATATCTTCAATAATATCACATTAATATTATAATTGTGAATCCTTTTAGACATGATAATAAAGCAGGGGAAACCTGAAATTGCAACAGCCGACGTGAGACACAGCAGACTGGATAGCAACCAGTTTTCACCAGTTATGAAGCCGAGTTAATTATTTTTTATCTCTGGACACAACCCTGTTTTATTCTTTTTTATGACACTTTGTTGTTGTGGAAACTGAGTGTCATTTTCGGATCTGGTCCGCACCTTTTGAACTTAAGAAAACCTGATTTGAACATGTATACGTTACTGTTACCTGCACGAATTTTGAACTAAGCTGAAATTTAAAGGCTTTATGGTGCTGCTTTTGAAGTTGGATTGAAATACACTTAGTTTGTTGTTAGTTTTAGTGCAGCAATCAATGCCACTGAATTTTTTTTTTTAGCAAAACAATGAACAATGTAGGTTAAATTAAATTATTTTAATGTCATATAATGCTTGACAGTGACAGAAACAATCACCTCATCAGCAAAATAGCTGCAGATTAATTGACAAACGGGTTAATTAACAAACTATTCAAGCTGTGGTTTGTTTAGCTTCTTGCAACACGACTTGAGGCCGAGTGGAACCCGAGCTGCAATTTCACAACACAGCGAGCAGCACTTCTGCACGAACGGTGGACAAATATGACATACAGCAGGATTCTGACGCACAAGTGGCTTTCCTGAGTATGCAACGCTTTATTACTGAAGGTTCTGATATGCTGGCATTACACATCACTGTAAAAAAACCTGACATTAGCTTGTGTTGCTTTTCCCTCTTAGCCACAAACTCACCACCCACCTCTCTCTCTTTGCAATGCAGCCAAACTAAACATATCAGTTCTTCTTGTTTCATGAAACAGCATCCTTTCCCCCCTTCGTGCACCATACAGCATCATGTTTTCTAGTAAACAACAGTAGGTTTCCCAACAAACGGCGCTCGATGACACACTACACCTGCAATAAAATGCAGAGTCGAGGGCCAGCGGTACCTGTTGCCAGACCTCCCAAGCAACAGTATCACTTGTACCCTAATTATACTATCACCTCAAAATTAGAGGGGTGTTGATTTCCTGATGTTGCAATGCTACGTGTAGCCTCTTTAAATAGCGAGTTTCGGGCTTCGCGGGCCAATTTCGGATCTCAAAACAGCATCCATGGCAGGCGAGTGTGGCTCCTAATAGTCTGTGTTCCCCTCTGCGCTGATTGCGACGCCTAAACAGGCCCCGTCTGACTTCCATCTGATTGTATTTGCTTTGCTGCAGGTTCGCGGATACGTACACAGCTGAACGAGTTTTCGTGCAAAGCGGCCGGCGTCCCGACGTGCCGCGAGGTGACGGGTATTTACGAGCGGCGGGATGAGAGAGCGCTATCAGCAGACTACAGACGGGGGGGCAGGAAGGAAGCCGCTGTAATTAGTTTGCTCTGGGAAAACAAAAGACTCATTGACTTTGTAATGCTATCATCAAGCGTATCAGAATACAGTAGTGGGATAACATCGCGGCAGAACAGATCCCACCCAGGGCACGCTGATGTGCAATGTGAAGGCATCAGTCCGTCGGTCTGTGGCGATGCGGGCCGATAAAAACACGGAGCGAGGCAGCTGGGCAAGAATCAAGAGTGCTGATGTGTTAGAAGTTTAAGACAATATGCTCCCCAATTATCATAATGATTAGTTTCTGTTACTTCTACTCCACTAATTCTCACAAGCAAGTGAAAAACTTGCACCTCCAAATTTGTGGATTTTGAATTTTTGCGTTAAACTAAAACTCACCTATCGAGCGGATTTTTTAAACAAAATAAACCCCTTCATGCCTTAAAATAGCGTAGATGTAACTCCTGCTTCTTTTAGATCAATGAAACTCTTTCCACCCACCCCCGTGTTGCAGCTCAAGCACACCAGCTCACCTACAACCAAACCACTCTTCACTATATTGGTTGACATGCTTGAAACTGAATCTGAAGCAGGCGTTGACTGCTTATTTCAATCATGATGGGTCTTTTTGCATCCATAAGATAAGCCTGAAAACTTTATTTTCACCAGCAGGAGTCTTTAAGACATCATAAATCATCTTCTTGGATTCACTGTAAAAGCTCATGAAAAGTCAGCTTTTTAGAGATATGTCATTCTCAGGACAGCAATGTTAGAATATAATCCATTTGTGTCGACTAAACTACCCAGCAGTAGAATAAAGAGTTAAAATTATCTCAATATTAAACATCTATAGCAGTAAATTGCAACACATGCAGCTGCATGTTAATCAAAAATCATTATATATACAAGTGAAACACTGACAGGTAAAATTGTAAAAGTAAATTTGGCTGATACAACGTACATACTTTCACCTAAATAAGGTTTTGAAAGCAGGACTTCGACTTGTAATGGAGTATTACTATTTTTACTTTGGTAACAGAACAGAATACTTGATGTATCCGGCTCCGAATATGCACAAATGCACACTAGAAAACTCTATACGTTTAATTGTTGATATAAAAGTGCAATTTTAAAAGCTCAACATCTGTCCTGACTGACTGTGTGCAGACTGTGGGTTGAAGCTTGCCATTAGCAATGCATTTAATGTGGCTTTCTCTTCCTCTTTTGCCATCTGCATGTTACTGATTACAATTTGTGTTCATTTCAAGTTCTGCTAAAGGTTTGGATCATGCAGTCATCCAGCCTTTTCTGTGAATTAGCCGAATTTGAGGGGGCACCGTTGCTGCATCCTGGGCTGAACATTCCCAAAGATGATTGTGATTGGTTTAAAGAAGGCCATTATGGTTTTCTTTTGTTACCTCTATGGCAGAATAATAGTGAGATGCATTCTGCACAGTGCTGTGTGAGCACTAGAGAATGATTTGGCTATGAAAAAACTGCTTTAAATCTGATCTTATAATCCCAAATTTAAAAGAAGTTAAATGCAAGTTTTAACAAATTGCACCTCATTATAGGACTAGTTTGACATTTTAGGAGATGTGCTTATTTACTTTTTAGTCAAGAGTTGGATAAGAATTTTTAACCTATTTTAGAAAAGATAATAAAAAAATAATCACTCCACAGAAGGGTCATGTTTTTATTGATAACTGCTAGAATGAATGTTGCTAGAAGATGTTCCCAGTATTCACAAGAAGCTACAAGCAAACTCGCTCATGCTTGCTCTTCACTGTCCATAATACACTTGGGGCCACTGTTGAGATTCATACATCAGTGTTGGTGGTCCCACTGGCCCCAGTGCCTTGCAGCAAGAGAATCTGCCTTCATTTATAGCTGACAGGAGGTGCTGTTCTTTATGCAATACTGGAGCAAACACCTACAAATGCTCTGTGGATGACTCCCCTCAGTGCTGACCCAGAAGGACTTACTGGTTGCTATATGCTTTTCAAGCAGAAGCCAGACCAGTGGATGTAAATATGGTTTTCACAGAATCAGAACATTTCGCTACCAATTTCGTGGCGCAGTCACAACAACAGACCGCTGACGGAGGAAAAAACACAAGCCTTTGCAACCACACGTGTTGCATTCCTTCGAATACCTCGGCGTAACTTAAAATCCAACGAGACGAGAGAAATACTGCGACCATGACTTCCATATATGGTTGGTGTGGTTGGAAGCCAGACTAACGCCGGCTTCGCTGGTTTTAAGCGCAAGAATGTCAAATGAGGCGCTGCCACGAGCTGCAGCATCAGGCCGGACTAACACCTGAACTTCATCCGTATCATCTCAGGCATTTTAGGGATTTCTCAATAACAAGAATTTCCAACGTTCTTCGTCTTTGCATCTCTTCTTTTAGCAGTGGATTTGAAGCAATGACTCATGCTATCTTGCACTGGACCCCAGAATAGCACCAAACTGCCTATAAGTTTTCATTTCAGTCTAGTCATGCCTCGTGTTTTGCCCCTTGTGATTTTGTCCTGATTCCACATAAAATAAAGCAAAGAATGTTGACCTATTTTTTGACCTCTGCATGAAATTCCCCAATCGCTTCCCAGCGACTGCGGAGCGCGGTGACCAGCAGACCACAAAGAACACTCTCCAGCAGCGAGAGAAAGAGTCAAAGTGGGTTTAGGCTTTTAAAACGGGGGAGCTTATAATCTCACGGAGTCACGAGGGGCGTCTGGGAAGCCACTGAACTAGAACAAGGAGTCAACTCAGCCACTGATGGAGAAGGGGGGGGGAGGCCTCGCTGCAATCTCAACCCAGCGGAGAGGCCTCGACGGAGGGGGGGGTAAACAGAGGTGAGTTAAGACGGGTCGCAAAGGTTAAATGTCTCAGGTGAGGCTCGGCGGCTTTGCGGAGTCGCCCTTCTCTTCCCTGATCCCCCTTCCTCCTCGTATTGAGAGCGCGGATCAGCGAGAGCTTCGACGATTCCGCCAGAAGTGTTGCTCGAGCACTCAGGTGGGTTTATATGGAAATGGAGAGCGCCGAATATCAAAGCGCCGCTCTCAATCCCGGCCCGTTGAGTTGAATCGCCGCATAATGAGCTAACAGTTCAAGCGGGATGGCGATGAACTCATTTTTTATTCACTTTCACCAACTTCAAACGGGAGCAAGAAGATAAGAAGGTGTGGGGGGGAGAATAAGACCGGCTTACTCAGCAACCTGCATCTCGTCAAGAATAGCTTCAGCTTGCATTCTCAGTGCACCTATTGTCTAATAGTTTTGTATTTTCTCACTCCTGCTCTCTCAATATGGGAAATATCTGCTCTTTTTTTGCCAGATTCTTGCCCTTTTACCCCCCAAAACACAGGAATTATCACTCCGATCTTAGTTCATCCAAACTGATGGAAGAAAGCATGCCACCGTGCATAAATCATCTCATTGGCTCAGATAAATAAGCCTACCATTGGTCCGACCACACTCAAAATTCCTCAAGCACTCCTCCTGCCCACACAAGAGCCACTGCCGCATTGATGGCAGTTTGCCTGAGAAAGTAAATTCTTCACTTTCCAAACGGGGGCCAAATAAGGCCCGAAGCTCAAACAGCCCCTTTGGAGGGATTTATACATCGGCTGGGTTTCTGTTTTACTTGGAGGGCTAATAAATCCGCCGTGAGCGCTGTGATGGTGGAGAGCGTGTTCCCTTTCCCGCTCTGACATTTTGACATAATGTCAAGTGTGTAATGCGCCATGTTCGACTCGGTGGGAGCGCGTCGCTGGCAGCGGTGTCGAACGCCACCGATGGTTAAAATAATATCTCACATGGAGTTTAAAAAGGTGAGAAAAGTCACGTTGTTGTAAAATAACTGTAAAACAAATGACTCATTCGAAAAGCTGCCAAAAAAAGGAAACTTCATGGGAACGTTTTACCTCTTAAATGTCATTTATCATCCCTAAAAGAGCCGTCGCATTACACCGAAATCCCTTAAAACACACAATCTGCTCTGTTATTTTGTCTGCTTGTCTAAATTTGTAGCCCTGAGAAGGTTGAATCATGAGCTGCTGTTTCAGAGAAGCACCCAAACAGGATGGTGTCCGCACAGAGTCTAAATAATTGTTTTTGTGAAGCACAACACACTGCGTGCCAGCTGTTTCCACCGGCGTCCATCAGCGACCGATAGCTCAACGCAAACACGTCCTTCCCACAAAAACCATCCTGTGACGGCCTGACGAATGACCCAACCATGACTCGACGAAAAAAAAAAACCCTCTTCGGAAGCGTTCTCAGCAACATTAAATCTACCAAGCGACAAGTTCCTGGTCTTCTCGTGAAGAATCCGCTGTCTAAATCTTGCGGATAACACGAGGAGGGGACGTCTTTTTTTTTTTTCACATGCGAACAAAATCACAACCACATGGTTAACACGCCATAAATAAGCATGAAAAAAGTCGTAAGCGTTCGCGTCTTCCCTAAACGGTTCAGACAAAGTATACCACAACATACGGGACGTTATTTACAGTGAGATTTATCACAGTGGATTGCCTTTGTGTTTCAGCTATGTGGATTGCCAGCAAGCTGAGTTTCGTGTCCAACAAAGGCACTGACATTATTTCACCTCGAAACCAACATGCCGATGTCGGGTTTGAGGCTCGGAGGAACTTCATAAAGTGGACGTGCGAGGGGCCAAAGACCATGGATCACTAAGGAAGCAGCTATTTGATCACGGTCAAGCCGCAGCGAGCGGTGAGCGGGCTCTGGCTTTGGCCGCTTCGCCCCTTGTATGGTTACAACTGCGAGCTACAGACGACAAAATACCCCATTAAACAAGGAAATGATGAATATCAGATGTGCAATTGCGGCTCACTTTGGACACAGGTTGAAAACCTCCAAATATGAAAGCCTGCCTCGGAGTTTTATGCAAGAGGGGGGCATGACCGCATATCATAAATGTTAGGTCATTTAATTTGGGTTTCGGTCGTGGGAGAAGTCTAGCGTTTGGCGCAGAACTCAAACCAAAACTCACCTGATTTGCAAAAGCTTCCACTCTTGGGGGAAAGCATGAGAAAAAAAAAAGCACCATTTGCAGCACTTCAAAGGCCCGTCTAGTGTGTAAGCTGAAAACAAGCATGTTTTCATCATTACTGGACTGAGCCAGGGTTGGATGGTGCTGATGGGTCTGTTCCGGACAGTGTTCGCCTATCGGTTCCTGTCGAATTAGGGGCTACAGGATGCTTTTCCTCATTCGACCACTAATTGCACGGCGAGGCGAGAATAAAGAGACGCCGCCAAGCCAAAATCAATGGCACTGGAAGGCGCAATGAAACACTAGAAAATCCGTGAGTTTGCTGCAATTACATCCCAGAAAGCCACGGTTTCTGCAAGTGTAAATCTCAAAAGCAGATTGTTTGTGTTAGCGTGTCGTGAAATTTCCTTTTAATCTAAACTCGCTTTTTGTTTTCTTCCCCCCTTTGCCAGCCTGTCACTTATTGACAGAAATAAGTAAGTGGGGAAGGCCAAGTCTCTACTTAATGCAGCCTTGGCCTCTTGTGTGGTTGCGTGTTAAATGCCATCCTCTCTGGTCACTACTGCTTTTATAACACTTCCCAGCGCATACTTTGGAGCTGACGCAGTGAGAAGATCTTTTTTTTTTTGTACCAGACACACATTGTAAAGCCGGACTATCTCACATCTGAAAAACAACTGGGATGCGTGTCGTAGGAAAATAAACTTTGCATCTGCACAAACATGCGAGAGGAATTCCTTCTTGGATGTCATCCACCTTTTCGAAATTTTTTTAACTTCTCTGAGGGACGAGAGAAGCAGTTCAAGAGGGGAAGCATCACTCTTAGAGAAGCCCTTTTCTTTTTTTTCTCCTTTTGACTTATGAGCAATTTAAAAACTGCCACCACCAGAGCATCACTGTTAGGTAAAGCCTTCAAATGATTTTTTTTTCTCCGCATTCCTCTGTGTTGTTTTGACGGGACACACAAAGCCTCGCGACCTCTTGACCGCTTGTGTTTAACCGCCGCCGTCGTGTTGGCTCGAGGTCAGAGGTGAACCGTCGCCACCGTCCGCCCGCATCCTCTCTTAAGGAAAGCAAAGGTGTCGGGGGGGGAAAGACGCAACATCTTCCTCGCGATTGCCCGAAGCAGGTTGAGAGAAAACACGTGTTTGCCTGCTGCGTTGACCAGTTGCTCTCTCTCTCTACACCGCCACAAATCACCACTGTCATGAGAGGCTCCTGAGCCTCAAACAGCAACTTAAATGAACTCTGCCGTTCCCATGGGGGGGCCCCCTGCTTTCCCATGGCTAGCCTCCATCGGAAAACATGCAGAGAGAAAGAAACTGCATCCAAACTTTTTTTTTAAAAATCCCTCTCTGCTGCAGCTACAGAACCTTCCACTTAAAACATCCACCCTCCTCTATTTTTAAGCCACATCAGAAAGAAAGTTGGAAATGTAGGGAACTTATCCCAACCTCCAAATGGAATACACTGCAAGAAAAAATAAAAATCACCGAAAATCTGCTCTTACCTGCCACTTTTTCTCACGCTCTCCCCTCTCTCTTCTCTCCCCCTCTGCCTTGTTTCTACCTCTGCATTCTCCCTGCCTTCAGACCCCCCCTCTAGGAGAGGGCAAGAGAGGGGAGTACCAAATAAGACACTTTCCTCCTCCTCCTCGTCTTCCTCCTCCTCCTCCTCCTACGCCCCCCTTCGCGCTCAAAACAACAGCAGTAATCCCAAACGCGTGCCTGAGAGCTACCGAACTCCATTCTGCCGTACGTGTGGATGTCTGTGCAGCCTCAGGACCAGGACCAGGATACACTCTTTATACCGCTGGCTTTCGTTTCCTCCCCGAGTCCACTTGCCAAGAATTATTTGAAACACGCTATATAAGGCCAAGAGAGTGGCTTGGGGCTCCTTACGATTCCGGTACCCAAAACGAGAGAGCAAAAAAGGCCGTCCGGGGGCAGACAGTAACTGTATCCCTCCCCTCTCTGTCTGTCTGTTCCTCCCTCCTTTTCCGAGCTGTTGACACATGCTTGACGGAGAGAGAGAGAGAATAAGAATAACTTTTCTGTTCTTGCACTGGAAAAAAAAAAAAAAGAAGCATTCATCAAAAACGAAGCCAAATGTTTTCGCCCCGGCGTCACGACTTTTGGCTTCACTTCGTCACCTTTTGTTAACAAACTGAGGTTTCATCCAGAAAATAAAGAAACGACCGCGAAGCATGAACAAAAATAAACCCCCGCGTAGTTCCAGTATGTTATGACATCGCTTGTGTTTCGGGTCGGCTCGCTCGTTGAACCTCTTGTGAGCTAACTGGGGATGCGAGAGGTTGACGTTTTGTATTTTCAAACTCATTTTGACAGATTTTTTTTCCCACCAGTTTTGCACAATAACATCAAGTCTCTCCTGCACAGAATTCTACTAATACTGTACTTCCTTCTCTTATCGTGATGGCAGACAGAAAACACAATGCTTTTCAAAAGCACACATTCAACTTGATGCCATATTTGGTTTTATGCTACATTTGCAAACAAATCTGGAAACTTCCTCCCGCTTTAAGACGCTCGGATGATGTTCTTCTTGACAAAAGCCACAACCAGGACAGTTCTGACCTGTTATAAAAGTTTCAAAACAAGTATTAGATGTAATCTGTGCCATGAGAAAGTAAGTGCATGGAATAATTGAAGAGTTAATTTGCAAAAACCGATGCATTTTTGTAGATTTTTAGAAAACGTTGTTGGTTGCTTGAGATAATATCAATCAAACTGAAGTCAAATGGGTTTGACTCAGTAGAGAAACATGATAAAAATAGAGATAACTTAAGTTTGATTGGTGTTGTCTCAGGTAGACGATGGAAAAGTAGGTTTTCTGAAGGTTTGTGAAGCTGGAGTTATCTGTTTTTGCAAATTAACTCTTCCATTGTTGAGGAATCATCGCAAATAGCAACTTCGCAGTCAGTTTTTCACTTATAACCTCTGCATCACAGTATAGGAAAGGTGAAACACAACATTTTGATGGCAGAAATATTCAATTCAGTTGCGGATTTCAAATCAAAATCTCAACGTAAAACAATGCAATTGACACTTTACGAAGGCTGCAGATAAGAATAGTCCGCTGTGAAGTGCATCTAAAAAGGTTTAAACAATCGTGTCAGTGGTTTTACAAATTCTGACCATCCTTCTCGGATAACAGTGGTTAAGCCGCATCAAATGGTTTTGATCCATCACACGATGAATATCGAACTGAAGCCTGACTTAAAAGGTTATATCACAAAAACAGCTAGATTTAGATAATTCCTCGAATCCTCCCCAATAGGATGGCAACACTTTCAGTCGCACCGGCCGCATTCCCTTGCACCAAATCCCATCATTCTGCATGAGTCAGCATCATCTTATCGGCCTGTCGATACTGATTTCGTGTTAATGACTTGCAGATATCATAGTGGATCTCCAGAACAGACCGTCTGATAACCAACTACCCCTAGTGATGCATAGGTAGTGCTTTCCAGATCTCGGAGACGGTGGACGGTGAAAAACTGATTCTTAACTGTTTACTATGAAGACATCCTGACCCGAGTGACAAAAATCTAAGGTCAACACCCCCAAAATCCACTGTTTTTGAAAAAAAAAAAGCTGGTAGGAAAATATTTGCCTGCCTCCCGCTGGGTTTCGAGCTCTCGCGGTGAACTTAGCTCTTGACCTCCAGACGAGGACCGCTAAATTGGGCCATCAGTCATCTGCTAGCACTCGGTTATTAGACCTTCCGTACCATTTGTCTGCCAACGCTATCTCCCGACTACCGCGCCGCATCCATACTGCTGAAGGGTGTCGCCATGGAGACGTGCCGCGATCGCCCTTTGATGTGACGTGTTTGCGCCGGGGAAACAGACTCGCTTCTGTGAGGGGCTGCCGAGGAATGCGGAGGCTTGGCTCGGCCGAATCTGGTGTGTGCGCATGTGTGTGTGCGCCTCGTCATTTTTTTTTTTTTTCTCTCACCTCCACTCTCCCTCGCTCTCTTTCTACCTTTTTCCACTTTCATGCTTGGATGGCTACTCTCCTTTCCATGCCAACATTCTTGAACGCTCCTCATCTCTGCCTCTATGCACGTCTTACTGTGTTTTTGGTCGTGCTCCACTTTCTCCCTTTTGGTAGATAAAGCAGATTAAAAAGGAGAACCTTAGAAGGGAAAAAAAAAGCTTGTACAACAACACAAGAGAGGAGTCATGGAAGCCTGTTCAGGGCTCAATCTGAAGACGCGAATCACCTGAGTTCTTAAATGCTCATGTTGTTGTTGTAAGCAATAAAAAGGTCTTTTGCATGTGACTGGATGACAGGTGAGGCAGCAAAGGAACAAGAATCGACGTAAACAAGCTTGTGCTGGGGTAAGACGCCAACCAGAAACACCAGCCTGAACCCAACCAGGCAACTTACGTCCAACTTGTTTCCAACAACAACCCAAAGTGGTTCTTATCAGGGCGATTGAGGATGAAGGGCCGACCCATTTGGCGTTTAGCTACCCAGTGGTAATATGACTAGTTAATTCCACTATCGAACCGATAAGCAGACATTAGAAGTCAAGTTTGCCGAGTGGCTCATTTAGCAACTCATTTTATAATTGTGGACAAGATTCGTGTTCATATTTGTAGATACAACACAATCTCTCACCAAGATGAGCAATAGCTATGTTGGTTCACGGTGAAAAATGTATTAGTTTAACTTTAAAAGTGGTAAAGTTCCTTTTCAGTTGGCCAATTTCAAATGTCAATGGTGACTTGTGAGTTCCTTTGCACATAAAAAGTCCACATTAAGATGTTACATGGTTGGTGGTAGCATTAACAGAACACTGGACTTACGCAAAGAAGGGTTAGGGTTAGTTTGGGACCATTGATTTTTTTTGTATTCCCTTTTTTCCAGTTTGTTTTTTTCCAGTCACAACAAAATTACTTAAGCCCAGCCACCAAAACTACTTGGTAAGCAACAAGTCTAACTTCCTGTTTGTTAGGTTGCAAATGCAGACCCCAAAATAGAAGCAGTTCTTTAAGGTTACCCAATTTCAAACGATCAGAAACTGTGCTCAGCTATCTCTGATTTGCCTGAACCTTTTCTTCAGTCAAACTATGTAAATTTTAGCTTATATATCAAATACTTTCCAAGATAAAATTTTAACTGAATTACCCGTCAACCCACTTTAAGGATGTTTTCTCGTGCATTGAGATTCAAACTGTTTGAACCACAATATCTCAGGAAGTATTCGAGATAAAAGCCTAAAATTTTCAGTTATTTGTCATCATGTCATTGATTCGGAATCTAGAATACTGGACAAGTAGATCAAATAATCTTTGATTGTAGGCGAGTTGAAATATGAACAAAAAAAATAAAGCTTTCATGAAAAGTCCAATGTTTGAGCTCACAACAACAAAAAGAAAAAGCCCAAGTCAACCAGTGATATTTTCTGAACCATGTCTGGTTGCATGTTACAAAACATGAATACTTGGTCACAAAAATGAAAAAAAAGATCTATTTTTGAGCAGGCATCACAACTTGCTCCACCAAAACAAAAAGAAAATAGGAGATGGTTCAGCAGAAATGGCTCTAAAAGCTGAAAATTTGTAAAAAAGAATGATCCTATTACGATTTCTGTTAAAATTTTGCACTGTGGACCAACATAGCTATGACACATTCTACTTATTTAAAGTAGTTTTGTGCCTTTATGCACAGAAAGTCAAAGCTGGAGCTATTTTTCCTAAAAGAAGACCTTTTAGTCAAACTCCAGAGACAAACTCACACATGCTACGTTACATAAATAGTCTGCGTTTTATAGTAGGTGATAAAAAGGGGCTCCAACCGCGCATCTTGTAATATTAAAGAGCCTCTGAGTTGTATTTTATGGAGCATGTCATTTGCCAGAGGTCTGATTAAAGGCCTCTCCCACTTTTTACACATCCACACATGCGAGGATGTGGATTAAAATGTTGGGATGCCAGGATTACAAACCTAGACCTCAAAAACTTTCCCCCCCTCCCGACCTTCAAATTCTGCACTGGTAGGAGGCCCGGCTTAGGAATGAATGGACTCGCAGACGCAACAGGCTGCTTTTAAAGCAGTTTGTGACAGTGAAAAGAATGAGTTCTTCTGATATAACGTCTGACACGGCACCCTTTTCTCTCTCTAAAATGCTGTTGCTTCCACATCAGCGGCTCGTGTTACATAAGTTGCGAGTGAGCTCCGGCTGACTGACAGGGATTTCGGGCCACTAGAGATGAAACGGGAGCATCTGAATCTTCGCACAGCAATGATATCCCCTGGATTTCTTTTTGCATGACAAAGGAACTATTAGATCTTCTGAAAACAGTGACTAGATAGCCAGATGTGCTCCCTAACAGCTGTAAGACAAGGATGCACCTTCAAAAACTTGAGCTAGATTTCAAGTGAGTTAATAAAAAATAGCCCTTTCAGCCTGCATGAGGCGCAACAGAATGCAAACATTACTCTAAAAAGAGCATATGCGGCTGAGAAAGTGGTTTCTAAACTGACCGTGACGCGTAAACACATCAACAGGCATATGCCCCCTTTGGTTTCAAAGCTGTCTCACTTTTATTTTTAT